AAACACTCGCGGATCACGATTACGTATTGCATTTACTTCTCGAACGTCAGCCACATGTTCGATCTCGTCTAATACATCCATGATTAATAATAAAATGTAATAAAATGTCAAGAGACACGTTCGTATTTGTGCCAATTCACGCGCTACGTAAGACCGGCTCTATTAAACTTGTTGCACTTATTGCACTTTCAGTACCTTCCGCACTTTAAGATCGAAAAAATTTTTAAATAGAACACATCATTATTATTGATATGTATTATCTCTATCAGTTATAGAAATGCAAAATATATTAATTTTATTCATAAAATCAATCGTATAATATCAATTGACATCATCAATAGTTGCGAAGCAGCCCGTGCCTGTCAAACGCTGGGCGCCGCCATTACGTGTAACAGTGCCGCTAAATGTGCCTAGGTGCACATTTAGCGGCACATTTATCGAATGCGTATAAATGTGCGATAAATGTGGTTCAGAACTTAGAACATATATACTGGAAGGGGCATAACCTATCTAAATACACATAACAAAAGTGTCCCCTACATCTATCTATCCTTGTCTGTACGAAATCGGTCAATGCGCTTGCGCGAATGAATAACCGCTTAAGTTGAAAGTAGAAAGATTTAAAATAGGTGGAAGGCATTTGAAAATTTGATTATAACAATTTATTCTTTAAGTTATATTATAATATAATTGCAATATATTATAAATTATATATAATAATATGTAGTAATATGTAATAATAGTCTTGTAAAATAAATAAAATAATGATGCACATAACCAAAAACAAATACTGTAATGAACAATAATTATATACAGGATGTACAGGATGAACTAAAATAAGATAATAAACTTTGAGGAGCGAGACCAAACATGAAAAAAAATTTGACATCAACATATGTCCGTCAAACTCACTGTTACTGATATAAAATATATATTATTAATGAAAAATAAAAAAGTAAATATTTATTATTATGTAATATTCTCGCTTCTCTAAAGTTTATCTTATTTTAATTATATCTTGTATATATAGTAACTAGTACAATAAAAATTATTATAAT